CTGGCCATCTTTGGGCACCAGGATGTGGTGCTCCTTGTCCCCAGCCCGACTCAGAGCAGGTGAAGTCATGTGGCTGTTGGTGCTGGCAGCACTGGATGTTCCTGGTGGGTGCTTTTTCTTTTCAGCTGTGTTTGAGTGCTTGAGGGTGTGATGACAAGGGAAGAGGAGTCCTGATTGTTCATATCTGCCCATTTGCAGGGTTCTTGTGTCTCTGGTTCTATGTCTGCCAATTTTGGGGGGTTTAATGCCCCAGTAGATCTGTTGGGGGCACATGTGGTGTTCACCCTGAGCAGTGGGACTCACCAGGTTGTTTCTGTTCTCTGCTGCTTGGCTGTGTCACTGCTGAGACTTAGCTTGGCTCCTGCCTTTGCTGGATCATGAGGGGAAAGGCAGGTTTTATGATTGTGGCTTCAAAAGGTGAAATAATTCCGGTCCATAGGTGAACCCAGAGCCTGAGCACTTCCCTGTGTGGTTTGCACCTGGAAAGGTGAGAGGGTGAATTAGAACAGAGTTCTGCTTTCGTAACTAGTTGTGAGCAAGTGGGTAATTGCTGCTCTGAAGGATTCATATGTATGTTTTATTTCCTACTTAAGGTTTCATGTTTAGGAAATGCAGATTGGTGCTCAGGTTAGAGGGAAGCATGGTTGGGAAGAGCAGCTCATAACTCTGAATATGAATAGCAACTGGGTGGATGCTGCATCCTGTGGGGAAGAATCACTTGATTCATGAGCAGTAAAACACAACAATTAAAGGTCAGGATTCACATTTTGTTGGCATTAGGAGGAGAATTGTGAGGAACTTAGCCTGGCTTGAGCTATGACACCACCAGCAGATGTCTGCCAGGCTGTAAGTGCAAAGAGCATGTGCTTTGTCTGTCTCTAGTGATTGCAGCCTGTCAGAGTAAGTGCTGGGGATAGAGAAAGCAAGACAGAAATGGAGTGAGATGTCGAGAGACAACACAGTAAAGTTGGGGTCACGATGCTGCTCTTCTCAATGTTTTAGCACTAGAATCTGGTTTAATGTCCTGCTTTGCAGGGGGTTGAAGACTCCAGGAATATTGAAAGGGAAAGAAGGAGGAGAATGGCCAAATACCCATTTTGTTGTGTTTCCAGGAAGGACAGTGTGCAGAAGATCTCTGAGGTGAAATGGCCAGGTAAGTGGAGCAGCAAGTTTTGGGTTGGGTGTAATCTTTCAGCCTGACTGTTCTTTCCTGTCTGTGTTGAGCTGTGGTTTTGTCTAAGTCCGTGGCTCAGTGAAAACTAAAATATGGCCTTTTAGAATTTGAAGGCTTAGGATTCTAAAAATAGGTCACTTGCTCAGACATGTAATTTAGGGTGGGATTCACCTACTGACTCAAACCATTAAAGTCTTAGCACCCAGTCCAAACCCATCAGTAAGAGCCTTCTGAAGACATCTACTCCTAAAGCCTGAGATGTGCTGGCTCCCACTGTTGGCTACACAACTTCATCTGTGTAGTTAAAATGAGAAACGAAGCTTCCAGAAAACAAAGGTGAGTGCACATTGCACACCTGGGTGCCAGGACCTCTGCACCTGCAAAAGTCTGGCTACTCCTGACATGGATTTTGGAGCATCTTACAGAGGGATGTTACAACTTCCTCCCCACACTGAATCCTGTGGAGTTTGCACCTGGACAGCGTCCAGCACGGTGAGGTGGAACACGCTGCAGAATTGCCCAGGCTGGTGGAGGCCCAAGGTAAAGAGTCCATGGGGCAGCTCTGCACCCTGAGCATGGCTGGGGGCTGATGGGGTCTGCAGGGCACTGGGGGGAGTCTGAACACCAGCCCTGAGGGCCCAGCAAAGGTGCAGCTGCAACCCACAGGGAACTGCAAGAGACCCAGAGAGGGACTGGAGACAAGGCCTGCAGTGCCAGGATGAGGGACAGTGGCTTACACTGCCAGAGGGCAGGGTTGGATGGGATAGTGGGAAGAAATTCTGCCCTGTGAGGGTGGGCAGGCCCTGGCACAGGGTGCCCAGAGCAGCTGGGGCTGCCCCTGGATCCCTGGCAGTGCCCAAGGCCAGGCTGGGCAGGGCTGGGAGCAGCCTGGGACAGTGGGAGGTGTCCCTGCCATGGCAGGGGTGGGATGAGATTCTCTGCATGTGAATGTTGAATGGCAGTTTAGAGCTAGATCTGAACTGTTAACTCTTGTTCAGTTTGCAAGTGGTCCCATGAGCACAGGCCCTGCTGTGCCTGACTGTGCTCTCGTGGCACCGCCTTCTGCCCTGGCCTGGCTGTGGTGTGGGGAGCCCTGGGTAATGGACTGAGCTGCACTGCCCGCAGGAGGGACTGAAATCATTCATTCAGATCTTCTAGAAAGTTTTATCATCATGTCAGACAAAATTAGGAGTTCCTCAAGGAAACAAATGCATACAGTAAATTGGAAAATGAGAGGTGGAAAACACATCCCCAGGGAGGCACTCACTCTTTAGAGGAGCATTGAGCATTTAGTGGAGGTTATATGCTGTGATTGTCAAAAAAAAAACTTACCTGAGCCATATCTGTCATTCAGAGATGCTTTGGAAATCTGGTTTTACAGAGAAACCTGGGGTTTTAATAGATTTAAATAATTACTTTTAAATTTTTTTGTGAAAGGGTCTTTTCAAAATTATTCTAGAAAACTGGCAGACTAATTTTGAAGTGGATAGTATTTTAAATTAAAAGAGATCTTTGGGCTGGTTTTCACATCTGTTGTTTGGATTGTATTTTGCCACATGAGTTATTTTGTTATTTTTTTCAGATTTAGTAAAACACAAACCGAGGCACATTGTGATCCAAAGGAAGGATGTCAGCAGTGCTGTGCTGACAGTGCCCTTCCAACTCCATTTATGCATCCTAAAAAGGTGTGAAAATAATATAAAAGTGAAAGTCTCTGATCAAAACTCATAATTTTATAAATTCGGATATGTAAAAATAATTTGTTCTCTGGAAGACAGCTGATGCACAGAAAAGAACCAATCTGTAGGATTGAGGTAACTTATCCATGGGCTTGTAGGAGCAAGCCAGTGTCTTCTGAATAAAGTGTACACTCAAGTCATTCTGTTCAATGAAAATTCACTTATGCTTAATGTTTATGGCCAGTCACATCCTCAGATTCCCAAATACCATTGCAGAAATGCCATTCCCCATCAAGGCTCATGTGGCCAGCAGGTGGATTTTCTGTCCTGCTGTCTGGGAAGTGCCCCAAAGCCAAGGGCTGCTTCAACTTTTCCTTTTGCTTAATAACCACAGACTCTATAAATATCTTCCACATGGATTTTAGTTCACCAAAGTAGCTTTTCTTCAGTGTTTTTTTCCTTCATTTTTTTTTCAGTAAATAACACTTGTATAACAGCCAAATTCCTTCACCCAGTTGCTCTCCAGCTTTATTACAATATTACACACAGCAGCCGTTACCCAGGGATCACCTATATTACCATAGCAGCTGAGATTTTTGTTTGTAAGGAAAACAAGGATTTCCAAAGAAGAAATACAGCTTTGAGCTTTGTGCTTTCTGTACACCAGATTTCTGTGCTGTAGGGTGTATGCCTTGCACTGTTTGTACTTCTCTGATTGCATGGAAATAACACAGAGTTAGATTTTGAGTGCTAGAACAGAGAGGGGCACCTCTTCTTACAGGTGCCTGGGAAAATAGTTTATACAACTTTGAAGGTGCAGTGTGTCAGCCAGTAGAATTTATTACAGAACCACAGAATATCCTGAGCTGGAAGGGACCCTCAGGGGTCATCAGTGCAGCCCCTGTCCCTGCACAGCCACCCCAACACCCCCACCCTGAGCACCCCTGGGAGCCCCTGCAGCTCTGGCAGCCTTGGCACCATTGCCTGGGCAGCCTGGGCAGTGCCCAACTCCCCTGTTTTTACCTTTTTTGAGGCTGTATAGATGGGCTTCAGTTTGCCAAGCAAGACACTTCAGGTTTCCTGATGTGGGACATGTGGAACTTCACCTCCCCTCATCCTGGTCTCCTGAGTACAGTTGGTACAGAATAAAACTCTTCCTGGTGGTGCCCAGTGACTTTGTCCAGTCTGCTACTTTCTTGTCTTCTAGAAATCTCCTGTTCCTCGCCCCTGGTGAGTTTGTGTTGCTCTCTACAAAAGCCCTGCTGGCATTCTGGGGTTCCATGGGTGCCACCAGCTCTCAGGGCTGGCACAGGTGGGCTGCTGTTCCCCCCTGAGCAGCAGATAAACACTGGTGTCAGCATTTCCCCAGCAGCAGATTATTGAAAACACGGGTGGGGTTGGGATGGTGCCATCCCAAAGGCACAGCCTGGGACAGTGGGCCCCTCACCAGCTGGGCCATCCCATAACTCTGCTTCATTTACTTTTCTGCAATTTCCACCTGTTAAAAGGTGTTCAGGTGCCTCTCCTGTGCCTGTGTGCAGTGCTGAAGGTGGATTGTCCTTGCTGCCTTTGGGTTTTCCCCATCAATAATGATGCCTTCCCTCTAGACCAGACCACAAAGATTTTCAGAAGCACCTGAATTATTTTCCCCCCTTGTTTTATCCTGTTAGAAGGGCACAATGATGACAGCCCAGTTTTGAGGCTGCTGGACTCAAAGGTCTCCCTTGCTGTATTTTTCACAAGGACAAGGCTGCGTGGACTCCAGCATGACACTTTACCTTACTAGCACCAAAATAATTCCTGCTGATTTCCAAAACCAAAACATCTCACCAGATAGTAACGGATGTTACCAACACTTTCAAGGCCAGGTTGATGAGGGCTTGGAGCAGCCTGGTCTGGTGGTGTCCCTGCCCATGGGAGATGAGCTTTCAGTTCCTTTCCAATGCAGCCATTCTGGGATTGATGAAGCACAGGACTTGCAGCTCCTGGGGTGAGTTGTACAGGGTGGGATTTGTTTCACCAGCTCTAGATTTATTACTGAGACATGATATTCAGTTTTTTCAGTAATAATTTTTTCTTTGTTGCAGTGAGCTCAAGGATGTGCTGTTTAAGTTGTTTTAGTATGAGTTGCAGTTTCTAGGGCAGGGGATAAGGTGGTCTGGGATAAGCCAGAGCCCAGTGATGGCAGTGACTGCCCAGAGGCTCATCCTGCAGCCCCAGCACTCACTCAGGGACCTTTGCTGTGGATGTGGCATCCTGCCTTTTGTTGCAGGGTTAATTGTGTGCTGTAATATCCAGAGCTCACTAATGAGAGGAGAATGGATGTGAAAGTGGGGCTCGTCTCTGCTGCCTGTGCTGGTGTCTGTGCTGCTTGGCCTGGACTCATCCAGTGAGGGATGTGGGTGCTCCCTTGCACCAGTGACTGACCAGACAGGTCTCATCAGTCTTGCCTGGTTTAATTCCTGTGTTGGAGCAGTCAGGAGCACTGGAGGTGTCTGTCCAGCTGTGTCTGTGGGGTGTGGGTGTCTTGCACAGGACAGGGTGCTCGGTCCTTGTCCAGGCTGGGGCCCCCTGGAGCCTCCCCAGGGCTCACCAGCATCTCCCAGGGGCTCTGGGTGCCTGAGCTCACTCCTGCTATAGAGGAACTGCCACAAAGCCTTTCAGGGCCTGTGATGCTGAACCAGCGTGTGGTGTACCAAGGTGATCATAAATGATATGGGGAGGAGGGAGGGATGTCTGGGGAAGCTGCAGAGATTAATTTGAAATGTGATTATTTTGGGTTTGCCAATGATGTGAGTGCTCCCTGTAGAGCAGCTGGGCTGTAATGTTTAAGAAGGTATTAATTAACCTCACCAAGGAGAAAGGGTGAAAAAGGCCAAAGTTAGCAGCAGTGTCTCAAGCTTATGTTGCCCAGGATTCTAATTATGTGAAGGCTTTCTTAAGTTAAAAGAAGACAATTTTTTGCAAAAGCTGGTTTATGATATTTAATAGTTTCTGCTTTTCATTTGGCAAAACTGGAATGAATATTTCTTCTAAATTAGAAAATTTTTTACAACCTCTGACTTCAGCTGGAAAGAATTCTGCACAGAAAATGTTTTCTTTATGTGCAGTTGGAGAACATTCAGTGATGTGAGTGGGGGTCTGAGCTGTGTTACGGTTCCCAATTCTATGTCAGGAAAGATCAAGAAGGAGAAAAGGGATGAGCTGACATTTTGAGAGACAAATTAATTCACTGACATGAATTGTTGATATAAAAGGCTTTTGTGTAGAAGGCTGCCCTGGGAAGCCTGGATTTTAAGGCTGTAATTGGAATTTGAGCTTGGGGACAGATCCTTAGCTGGGAAAATCAACACAGTTGCAATTGGGCCTGGGTAATTAGTTCTCTGTACTAAAACAGCTGTAGAAACAGGTGTGCAGCTGGGCCTTCCTTCCCTGCAGCCAGTGGATCCCACTGTCCCTGAAAGTGCAACAGCTCAGCCGTCCTGTCTGTAACCCGACAGCTGGGAAATCTAGTTATGTCCCACTTGGATTTTGAGCTCTAGACAAAGAATCACTTAATCTCAGTTTTTATATCAGAACCCAGTAGTAAAATAAAAAGCATTGATTAAAAAAATAATCTCTATAATAAGGAAAACAAAAGCTTCTGGAGCACAGCCTGGCCTCCAGGGAAGAGCTGCTGGCCAGAGGGTTCAGTGTTATGTCCCATCCCTTCTGCATTCCCACCAAATCCAGTCTGCTGACACCTGCTCACCTCCCTCGCTTTCAGAAATAGGTGAGCTTGGAAAAATAGGAGTGATAAATCCTTCAAACCCAGCCATTTAGGACAGGGCAACGAGCTCCCAGCTGTGTCCTCAGGCGCAGGGAGGAGCTGGCTCCCTGCCCCAGTGGCAGAGCCATGCTCTTTGGGTGCCTGCTGGGTAAGAGAGGGTTTTCCCACTTTCTGTGCCAAGTAAGGCCTTTATCTTGCAGAGCATCCGCATGTGACACTCCCAATGTCAGTGTTTAGCACCAAGATGCCGTTTCTGGGAGCAGGAGTGCTGTTATCTACACCTGGCAGATGTTATAGTGAACTCCCGTCTGATCCAACAGCGTTTCCTCGGTTATTTCAATCCCTTTGTCCTTGGGATGCAGGTGTGAGGTCTCTGCAGAAAGAAACTTGTCTGTGTTGCTCACTGGGTTTTGCTGCAAAAATCAGAGCAGAGTTTTAATTTCTGGAGTGAGCAGGTGCCTTGTGCCCATCCTGCCCTGTCCCACGCCCCCCATGTCCCACGTACCGGGGGGGGCTTTGGGGCGAAGTCCTTGTGGCACACGTGCGCGATGATGCCGGCGGCCAGCGCGTCCCCCAGCACGTTGGTCATGGTGCGCAGCCGGTCCCTGCGGAGACAGCGCCAGGATCAGGATGCAGGGCTGGCCTCAGCCAGCGTGCCCGGGGTGCTGGTGGCTCTGGGACACGCCAGCCCCCATCCTGAGTGTCCCTCCCACTGGTGTGGCCAATGCTGTGTTGGTTTTGGAGATGTGAGCCCCGTGCTGGGGCAGCATCTGTGTGACCCTGCCTGTGTGAGCAGAGCAGGGACCTGCCAGTGCCACCTCCCGAACTGGGACAGGCACTGTTGTGCTAAGTGCAGGGAGAGCTGCCTCAGCAAGTCATCAGCTCCTTGAGATGCCTCTCGAGGAGAAATGCTGTAGATCCAGCTACTGATCCTCTCTTGTCTATCCAGGCACCTCTCACATTAGTAGAAGGTGCCAGCAGTGTTGGGTACCTTGTGGTGCTGAAAGGTTGAACTGGTGGTGTGTTAACCTTCCTTTGTTGGGGGAAAGAGAAAAGGGGGAAGGAAAGAGAAAAGCAGCCTTGATACTTGGCACTGTTCCCTCTTTTCCCTGGGGATATGGAAAGTACAAACCAGCCACCCACATGTCACTTCCCTAACTCAGCATCTGCTCTGTGGTTTCTCACCTAATGACTCACTGTGTTTTTATCTGAATTCTTTAGAATGGCACATTTCACAAGCTGTGAGTTTATTTGTCTGTGACAAGTGTAATCCAGCATCAGTTTGTGTCTTGAGAGCAGTCTGGTTTCATCCATCAAGATGAAGATACAGCACCATGAATTGACACAGGCACTGCCCACAGCAGTGGCCTGGAGAGCACTTACAGAGCCCAGTCGACGGCGATGATGAGGGTGATGTCCTCGGTGGGCAGCCCCACGGAGGTGAGCACGATGACCATGGTGACCAGCCCGGACTGTGGGATCCCAGCGGCCCCAATGCTGGCTGCTGAGGCCGTGATGCTGCAAAGAGAAGGTGGCTGAGCAGCTCACACTGCCGTGTTTGCATGGCAGAGTAAGGTCTTGCTGTGGGGAAGGACTGGATTGGACCTGACTTCCTCCACTTTGCTGCTCCCCAGTGCTATCACTAATTTCCCTGTCTGGCAGCCGGTGCCCTGGCTCTGGGCTCCCCCCTGCCTTCAGGGTAGGGACTTCCTCATTAAAATTGATAAATATTTGCAAATGTACTTAATTATTATTTAGTTACATGCTTTATTTCCCTGACTATAAAATGAGAATATCCTACTCCTGAAAGGGAGTATATGGCACCTGCAGAAATTGTTCCATGCTCAGCCCTGCAGTGCTGACCTGCTCCAGCCACATGTCTGTGCAGCTCGGCTTTTCCCTACAGGCAAAGTCCTTGACTTGCAGCACTTTGGGGGCACAGAGCCAGCCCAGCTTTCCCTGGCACACAGCACAGGGACTGGGACATGCTGCTCAGCTCCCCAGCAAAGGTCACTCTGCATTAACCAGATCTCTGCAAACAGCAAAAATGCAAGAGGTTCTCCTAATGTCCATAAATAGGAATAGAGAGAAATAATGTGGCTGCTGCAGAGAAACTTGTACCTGATGGTTATGATTTGTCCCAGGTCCAGCTCATACTCGTTGACCTGGGCGATGAAGATGGCAGCGACGGCCTCGTAGAGCGCGGTGCCGTCCATGTTGATGGTGGCGCCCACGGGGAGCACGAAGCGCGCCACGCGCCTGTCGATGCCGTTGTTCTCCAGGAGACACTTGAGGGTGATGGGCAGGGTGGCTGAGCTGCAGGACAAGAAATGAGCAGGAATTGCTGTTTGCATTGAGCTTTACAAGTTGGAGTCAGTGTGGTGGGACAGAAATACCAGCCCTCCTGGGGGTGGGTGCTGCAATGTCACACAAATTGCTGCAGCAATGAAAATCTCTTCAGCTCTCACCACCCGGGGAATAGACATTATCAGCAAAGTGAGCTGCAGGCTGAGAGAGAAAATGTCAGAATGTCATTTCAGTGGCTGAAGGCACCACTGTAACCACCTGTGTGCCATGGCTGCAGCTCTCTTGACCATCCCTGGTGCCCACGTTAATCCTGCAGCGTGAGACAGTGTGTGCCAGCACTGGCTGGGTTGGGGTCCAGCCAGACCCTCGTCATCCTCACCTGTCTGCTCCATGAGGGGTGCCTGCCTCAGCTTCTGCAACCCTGACCTCTCTCTCTCCTTTCTGTCTAGCATGAAGATGACAACTGTCCCACAGGAACTGGGATGAGGAGTGGAGGAAGAACAGGCTGAAGAAAGGAAACCACAGAAAAGAAGTCCATGGGATTGCAACAGACTCTGGGAGGGGGGGACTGCATTTGGGAAGGGCTCTGGGTGCAGAGCAATGGGGACCATGGGGCTGGGACACAGAGCAGGGTGTTCTCTCTGTGACAGTTCTCCCTCCCTTAGCTGGCTGCAGAGCAGAGGGAGGAGAAGCCTGATGGAGACAGAGCTGGAGATCCAGGTTCAGGACGAGACCAGGTATTAAGAGTTGCAGAAGCAACAGTTGCAGCAGTGGGCATTGGGGAAGGGAGGCGTAGTCCAGGTGGTTTTACTGGGATTCTGTGGAGAAGCAACAGAAAGGCCAGAAAAGTTTTAATAGTGTGAAGTTTTTTTCATTGTTCTAAGGAATGTATTTCAATGAAAACAGAATAGGTAAATATAATCTAAAATGATTAAAATCTTTTCAAAGTAGGCAAGATTTTTCTGTGGATGAACTTGGGATATACTGTAGTTGATTTTACATTGTCAGTAAAGTGTTCAGAAGAGCTTTTGGTGTTTTCAGTTAAACTCCAGGATCACAACCCCATGCAGTTTATAAAGTACCTACGACAGCCCTAGTTTGAATTAATGGAAAGAAAACTGCAGCAATGGAATGAAGTGTGCACACCCACACAAAAACAGTGCTGGTTTGCCCTGGGAAAACCCTGGCAGAGGGTGAGTGGAAGAGCCCCAGGAGCTGCCCAGGCTGGCTGACCAGGGCAGGGCTGAGCATCTGCTTCCTCCTAAAAGCAGGAGCATTCCCATTTCAAACAGTGCTGGAGCTTCATTTTATCTCGAGTTACACCTGTGCCCCCAGAGCTCACCTGGCCAGACACAGCCATGTCTCCCTGGCTAAACCACATCCCTGCTCTGCAGTATCCACAGGTTCCAGCCACGTTTTCCTACCTGGAGGATGTAGCTAAGGCGATCAGCAAGGCTTGCAGTATCCCCTGAATGAAAGCAAAGGGGTTTTTCTTGGTGATGAGCACAAAAAGCAGAGGTAAGAGGATGATTCCATGCACGGCAAGCCCTGACACTACTGTGATGACATACAGTCCCAGCTTCTGTCCAATAACCGAGGGATCTTCCATCTCCAAGATCTTTCCAGCTATGAGAAATACAATGCCAAAGGGGAAGTACCTGCAAAGAAGAAGCATAAAAAATTATGAGGATACAGCAATCACAGTAGCACTGCAGATAGACATGGCAGTGTTTGGTACTGTGCAGTACAGTTGTACAAAAATTCAGTGCTCACAACAGACACTTGCAGACATGTGACTGGCACCGCCATTAGATAGAAGGAAAGAAAATCAATCAGTCAGTGATCAGTCAAAACCAGATTTACCAAACAGCCATCGAGACAATTTTCATGACTGCTTCGTTCAGACACTGGCACACGTTGACCAGGGGTGCTCCTCGCTCGCCCATTTTCCCCAGGAGGAGTCCTGCAAGCAAGCACAGCACGTTACTTTACTTGGGAGCAGCACCTGACAGGCCAAGTGTCTTGAGGGTCTGGTGGCCACAGAATGGGGGTCACCATTTAAACCTGATTTAGTCCTGTTGCTGTGTGCTCTTACAAGCCAGAGCCATTCTCTGTCCCAAGCAAACACAAGCATTTGGCCTTTTTTCACAAAACCCCAGCAGACCCAAATCCAGGATTTGGACTCTTCCTTGCACAGAAAACAGATAAACTTCACTGCTGCTCAATGCTGGAAGGGTCATTTCCTGAGGTGGATAAACTGTGGATTAGCTGGATTAGTGGCTATCTGGATTGCTATTTGATAATGCAAGAATAATGACCTCTGGAAAGAAAAAGGGATTTCTTTTAAGGATAAGGTGTGGCAGGGCTCTCTGTAGCCGAGGATGGGATGCTGTGCTGCATCCCTGCCCTGCTGTGGAGTGAAAGGGGCCCCAGCAGTGCTCAGGCCCCTCCTGGCTCCCTCCTGGGCTGGGCTGGTCACTGTTGGTGGCTCACAGGCTGTGCCATGGTGGTGACAACACACGTGGTGTACAGTGTGATGTCAGGAAGGATCTGAGTGAGTTGCTTAGATACAGGCATTAAGCCTTCTCTCCTAAATCTGTTTTTTTCCTTTGATGTTGCATTAATCTAATCCAGTCTAATTTTCTGTTGAAGGAATACTTGAGCAGAAATACAGGCTGTGGTTTGAATGGTTGGACAGGATATGGTGCTGTCATGTCTGCCAGTGCTAAACCCCATTGCTTTCACTGCCTGGGAGGCTTTCCAGGAACCCATCAAGCAAAGGGAAAAGGAACCTTTGAGCATTTGCCCATCTTGTTTCCAGCTTGGTGCAAGTCCTTCTTCCTGTGTTGGCTATAATTAATTTTGAAGCACTGTGCAGGTGTCTGCTTTATCTTGAAAAAGAAGAATATAGACGGGATCTTGTCCTGCTTATCCCTCCTCAGTGTTCAGGGTTGAGGACTCCAAGAAGCCCTTGGTTGGTGGTTGGGTCTCTTGCCTTGCTCAAAAGAAAGATGAGGTGGGGTTGCATTTGCAGCCCAGAAATGAGACAAGGCTTGGCATGTTTAAATCTCAGCTCTGTGGACAAATCCAGTATTTGGTAGCCACAACAGCTGTTTTGGAAGAAAGTAATTTCTCTTCAGGTCCTAGAGAGCTGATTTGGGAGACATGGCCCGAGTAAACAGACAGATAAGGATCTTGAAAGCTCTGCCCCCTCCTGGATTTCAAAAGCAGCAGAGAGGCCCTCAGTGCCAGTGAAGAACTGTCAGAGCTGGGGTCACTCTGGGTACCTGGTGGGTGCTGCATGGATGCCTTGGTCTGAGCCTCACCAGCTCCCTATTTTTGGTGCTGGACACAAACACACTTTGCTGAGAGCTCAGCCAGCTTCCAGCTGCCCCACCGTGCTGCGTGCAGGTGATCCCTGTTTCCCAAGGCATGGGCTGTGCCTGTCCCTCTCTGTTTTCTGCCAGGCAAACTCAGATCAGCCTCTCCTCATAAGGAAAGCCCCCTGTGGGTGTATGAATGCCCTTTATCAAGCTGCCTGTGCCTGGTGCAGTGATGCTGTGCCAGTCTGTGGAGCTCTAATCCTGGGCAAAGCATGGCAAGTGCAGGTGGTGGCTGAGGCTGGCTCAGGTGATCCCCCACCGCCTCCCAGCTCTGGCTGATCCCACTCCCACGCTGGAGGGGTTGTGGAGTGTCATCTTAGGAGAGAAAAGCAGCTTCTCCTTGCAGGTTTGGCCGGGCTGGAGGGGGCACGTGTCCTGTGGGCAGGAGCTCAGCAGCTTTGCTGGGTGTTGGTTGCTGGGACAGGAGGTTCCAGAGACACCTTCTGGCTGTAGGGGTCTGTCAGTGGCTCTGGCTCTGCCCAGTTTCACTGTGGCCACCTCAGGCCTCACATTTGGAGCTGGCTGCTCCCCAGGCTCTGACTGCACTCCAGGGCTGTGCTGGCTGTGCTGCCTCCACACCTCAAATCCCCTAATTGGCTTTTTGGTTCCTTATACACAAAGTTCAAGCTCCTTGCCCTCACCTCTTAATCTACACATAATCCTACCACTCTGCTCATCTCACTGCCTCCTACTCTCTTTCCTTTCTGATCCCTCCTTCCTCCCTTTCTCCCTCAGCCTTGCACCTGTGTCCGCTTATGCTTTGAGGCAGCTTCAAGTTCCTCCTTTCAATGACTTTCTCCCCTTTAAACCTCCTCCCCTGCACGTGTCTCTCCACAGCCCCTGCTCCTTCTTCCTTCCCAGAATTGCTGCAAGCACCTTTTCCACACAGGACTGCAAGCTGTTCAATGCAGGATGCTGTCCCACCTCCTCAGAAAGTCCTGTTGGGAATCCTCATAACAGCCCCACATCTGACCGTGCTGTCACATCCTGCCTGCTCAGGGGCTGCACACTCACTCAGCATGAAGAGTTTGGGGCTTTGTGGTGAGCTGTGTCCCAGGCAGCCTCCGCAAAATTACACCTCGCTTCAGACCTCATTAAAAGGAATCCCCAGCTGATGTAATGGTTTGAGAACCCTCAGGACCGGCACGGGGGCTGTGAGGGATAAACCAGCCTTGCCCATGCCTCCACTTTCAGTGAGGGCCTTGGCACGAGCTCTGTGCTGAGCCCATTCCCCTTTTAGTTGAAGCTAAAAGAACCTTGTCCCACATCTTTTGCTCTGCAAACCCTGGTGCTGCAGCAGTGGCACCTGGGCTGCCCTGGCCGTGGAGGAGCAGGTACCTATGGTTGCTGAGAAGATGACAATGCCCAGGACATTCATCTCGTTGCTGGTCCCAGCCAGGGTCCTGTAGGTCATCTCGGGTGATGGTGTCAGCTCAAGGAACACAGGCCGGTGGATTTCAGGGTTTTTGTCATCAGGTGCAAAGTAAATAAAATTGACAGGTTTTCCCGGGATCTTTGGAAAACCAGGAGATTTCACCACCGGGACAAGAACAGTTCGGTACTGGAAGAGAAGCAAAGGAGGGAGGTCAGTGTGTGCTGGCATGAGCTCTGTCCTGCTCTCAGCACGGAGGCCAAGCCAGCCCTGGGCTGGTGCTCCTGCAGGTCAAGGTTTGGTTTCCAGGCAGTGAAAGGCTGGTGGGGACAAGGGTGAGAGTCAGGCAGGGGGAGCTGTGGCTGTTGGCTGCAGACCGTGCTCAGCCAAGGCTGCAGAGCAGACTCGTGGTGTTGGTGATGCCAGCCCAGCGCTGGGGTCCCTCTGTCCCTCCATTCCCCCTCCCGGGAGCTTTACCGATGCTTTCCCAATGCCAGCAGTTTGTTTTCCCTGTCCCTACAGCCTAGCTGGCCACTCCAGCTGTCCCCTTTGACCACTGTACCTTCCCTCAGGCATCCCTTCTGTGTGTCCCTCCTGTGTGTCCCTCCTGTGTGTCCCTCCTGTGTGTCCCTTCTCGGTGTCCCTTCTCTGTGTCCCTTCTCGGTGTCCCTTCTCTGTGCCCCCTTCCCTGCCTGTGCCCAGCCCATGCCGCCCCTGCCCTGCCCAGGAGCAGGGTCTGAGGGCTTTGAGCAGGGTCTGAGGGGTTTGAGCAGGGTCTGAGGGGTCTGAGCAGGGTCTGAGGGCTTTGAGCAGGGTCTGAGGGGTTTGAGCAGGGTCTGAGGGGTCTGAGCAGGGTCTGAGGGCTTTGAGCAGGGTCTGAGGGGTTTGAGCAGGGTCTGAGGGGTCTGAGCAGGGTCTGAGGGCTTTGAGCAGGGTCTGAGGGGTCTGAGCAGGGTCTGAGGGGTTTGTGCTGCTCCCTTGGGGAGCCTGGCAGGCAGAGGGCAGGCACGGGGTCTCTGTGAGCGCCCTCCCACCTTCAGGGCCCGCCCTGGGTGAGCGTGGGGGATGCAGAGGAAGGGAAGGGAGGGGAAGGGGCTCCTGTCCAGGCTGTGGGCGGGCAGAGGCAGCCCAGTGTGGAGCTGAGCACGCAGAGGGGTCAGGGGAACTCACCTGCTGGAACGAAGCTTCAACCAGGTTAGAAGGAAACATGTTTCTGTAAGAGACCAATGACACAGGGCTAGAGTGTTATGAGAGCACAGGGAGCATCCTGGGCAGCACTTCTGGTGGGCACAATGTCCAGAGGAGGACATGAAAGCCAACAACAGCTTATGACAGCTGTGCAGGCTGAGAGCAAAGAAAGGCTGGAAGGTGAATGCAAAGCAGGACTGAGAACCATGAGTAAATGTGTTTGGTGGGGAGCCTGAGCCTGGGATGGACATCTGCCATCTGCAGCCCCTGCTCAGAGCCTGGTCCAGTCAATCCAGTAGCTCCAGAGATGGAGCTTCTCCCCCAGCCCCTGGGTGTTTGCTGCAACCCCTCCCCAGGTAACCCCATCCATGCCTAACCCAGCTCTGGGCTCGGCTGTCCCAGCTGGGGCTGCAGAGGAGAATCCAAACCTTGCTGGGAACCGTGCCTGATCTCTGCTGCAGGGCATCTCCTTGCTGATGGCTTTGGGAGAGCAGGGGCAGTGCCAGAGGGGCCAGAGGGGATGGCATGGGGAAATGAGCCCCATATTGCTGGGCTTGGAGGAGATGGCTGGGGGAAAGGAATCCCATGTTGATGGCCTTGGAGGTACCAGCACCTGGCCAGCGGTTCTCCTGTTCCCCTTGAGAACTCAGGGTCTTCTGGGAACTCAGAACCTTCTGGGAAGAGTTTGTTACCACAGCCTTGGCTCTGCTGGGTTCCAGGACACACCTGATTAAATCCAGTAGCGCGTCGGCGGAGCTGAGCACCACTTTCCCCACAGAGTAGTTGTCCTTCTGGGCAGCTGCCCCAGGATGGATGCTGACCACGAGGATGATCCCCACGGTCACTGCCATGAAGGTTGTCCAGAGGTAGTAGGTGATGGTGATCACCCCCATCTTCCCACAGGCCTTGGAATCCATGGTGGCCAGCCCAGACATGAGGCTGCAGCACAGAGCAGAGGGGTCACTGTCTGCTCCCCAGACTGCACAAGATGCACCTGATGGGCAAAATCTCCACGGTGGGAGGGGTTCCTGTCGCTTTTTTAAACCAAAGCCTAAGGGCATCACTGAGCTCTTGCACATTCCTGTGCCAGTATCTACAGGATCTCACACCCAGGATGAGCTTGTGACACCCCAAGCTGAGCTGTGAAGGGCAGGAGACACCTCCAAGCTTCTTCTCAAGGTCTGGCTGTGTTTTCTGTGAGGGCTAAGAAGTTTATTATATTAGTTGTTCTAAGTTGTTCTGATGTTGCTCCTTTTTTGTGAGATGCTGTTATCTTATATCTCCATTGCCTCTGCCACTGCTGTGTGCCATTGTGAGGAGCAAAGGAAGGTACCAGCAAGGTTCATAAAATCCTGCTGGGGATGGACCCCATGCCCCCAGGAGGGACCTGCAGGTTCAGATTTCATGCACACATAAGCTTTCCTAAGAAGGAACCCATAAGCTACTTCTCAGCAAAACTAAAAATAGAGAGGGCATCACAGGCTGCCCCAGCAGGGAGAGCAGTGCTGGTGGTGGGGACAAGCTGGGTGCAGGACTGGGTTTGCTGAGGCTCACTTGGGAGGAACTGCTGAAATTCTCAAGGGCAGAGAGGCCACACACAGAGACCCAGACAAATGTGAGGAGTGGGAAACCCCCAGCCATGTGGTGTTTAACAGGGCAAGTGTTGGATCCAGCCCTGGGATGGGGCAGCCATGGGTGCAGGGATAGGCTGGGGATGAGAGGCTGGAGAGCAGCGCCCTGGGAAGGGCCCTGGGGGTCCTGGTCAGTGCAAGTTGGATCTGAGTCACTGCTGGGTCCTGGCAGCCCCAAGGGCCACCCTGTGCTGGGGCACCAGGCCCAGGGAGGGATTGTCCCACTCTGCTCTGCCCTGGGGCAGCCTCAGCTCCAGTGCTGGGGGCACTTTGGGCACCACGACATCAGAAGGACCCAAAGCTGTTGGAGAGTGCCCAGAGGAGGGACACGGAGCTGGGCAAGGGCTGAGGAGCAGCTGAGGGCACTTGGCTGGTTCAGCTGCAGCCCAGGAGACTGAGGGGAGGCTCCTCGGGGGCTGCAGCTCCTCCCCAGGGCAGGCACAGGGGCAGGGGCTGAGCTCTGCTCTGGCACAGGGACAGGAGCCCAGCAAGGGCTGCAGCTGTGCCAGGCCTTGGCATGGAGCTCAGGGCAAGGTTCTGCCCCCCGAGGCTGCTGGGCACTGCCCAGGCTGCCCAGGCAATGGTGCCAAGGCTGCCAGAGCTGCAGGAGCTCCCAGGGCTGCTCAGGGTGGGGTGTTGGGGTGGCTGTGCAGGGACAGGGGGTGCACTGATGATCCCTGAGGGTCCCTCCCAGCTCAGGATATTCCAGGATTCTATGAAATGTGAGTGTTTGGGGCTGTAGTGTGCCCCCCATGCACAGACCCACACTAAGCCCCTGCACATGATCGAAGGGTGCAGGGGTCAGTGCCAGCCCTGGGGACACACAGGGGGGCTGAGGTGGTGGTCAGCCCATGGATGCCATTCAGCAGCCACACATCCAGAAGGGCCCAGAAGGGCCTTGGAAACTCAAGAGAGTCCAGAAAAGCAACCCTGGCATAGGTGGTGCTTTCCAATTCAAGGCTTGGGGATCTCCAGAGCTCCATCCCCAGAGCACACCCAGGCCCCTCTGGGATGCTGTGCAGAGGGAAGGCACCACTTTGTAGCAGGCACAGGGATTGCAAAGGCCCCGTGGAGGGCAGAGGCCTAAAGATAGGAAATGCCAAGTCATGGTGAATAGCTGGAAGCCCCTCTCTTCTGCCTTTCAGACCCCAGCTTATCTCTCTGTAAGCCTACAGGTCACTCCCTTTTAACCCCTGCTATTGGACAATTTCTGATCCCCTATACCCTGTATAATGGGCTGTTTTAGCCCAGTCCTGTAGAAAAGCTGTCGCTGGAACCCTTCACAGATCACCCAGTAAAGACATTGTCACAGATATCTTTTGTGAAAAATCTTTTCTTGAGATTTTTCTCCCTTCTGAGAGGCCGTGGCCTCAGCAACAAAGTGTAAACCATGGTTATCTGCTGCTGTGGAATGTAACAGGGGCATCTGTGATTGGTCTCCTGTGGATGTTTGGATTTACTGACCACTCACGGCAGAGCTGTGCCCGCTTTCTGCCAGGACACAGATCTTTGTTATTCATTCTTTTCTATTCTTAGCTTAGCTAGCCTTCTGAGAATTTTCCTTCTATTTCTTTTTAGTAGAGTCATAATGTAATATATATCATAAAATAATAAATCAAGCCTTCTGAACATGAAGTCAACATTCTCGTCTCTCTCTCACCCTGAAGACCCTTGTGACCACTGTCACAGACATCACTGTGGAACACCAGAACAGCCTTCTCCTCTCTCACCCTGAGTCTGCCTGCCTGCAGCACTGAGCCAGCAAAGAGCTGGAATCACAAAGAGCTGGAATCACAAAGAGCTGGAATCACTAAAGAGCTGATATCCCTTAAGCTTGCTGTCGTTGCCAGCGGCTGAGAGCTGCTTGGGAACCCGGGCAGTCTGTCCCTAAAGGACTGAGCTATCCAGACCTTGTGCAGCCTGCTGGGGCAAATCTGAACCCAGCAGGAGCCGAATTACAACTTTACAAATTCAGTAATTATAGAAAAGTCCTTGGTTCAATCCAACATGAAAGAAAACTCGCAGGAGGCTCTGCAGAGCCTGCACCCACAGACAGCAGTGATCAGAGGAGAGCACCCAGCAACTGCTGCAGGGAGGCCTGAGAGCAAAGGGAACCCCAGGCACCTCAGGGAGGGATGTGAGGTACAGACCTCACTGAACAGGTCAAGTGTGGCCAGGATAGAGACCACTCTGTCCTCAGAAATGAACCAGAGACAAATGGGACAACAAGCAAACTCTGACCAACAATAGAGAAAAGACACATCCTCGAGGGAGCAAGGACTTGACCATTTGTGTGTGTCTGATGAGCACATGCCAACATTTGTTTGCAATATCTCAATCCATGCAAGGTTTTCAAGACCTTGCTTAGACCCCAGTAGGACTGCTGGCTCTGTTCCTTATTTCTAGGTATGTATGGACCAATAAAATGGGAATTTGCAAACACATACACAGCACTGAGGAACACCTATGATTTTTTACCCGAACTTTCTCAAATCCCTCTAAGAGAATCTGCTTTGAGGTTAAGCAGCCCGTCACAACTGCCCACAGATGGTCCTGGAACCACCAGCTGCCCAAAAGGAGGGAAACACCCCAGCCAGTGCAGGTATCTGAGGTGGGTGCAAGTGCCTACCAAATCCAGGTGAGGATTTATCCCAGACTGCTGCTGGGAAATCGTGGGGTTTGATGGACACCAAGCCATCTGCTTGGCTGCCAGCTGCCTGGAGCCAGGATTATTCTCACCCCATGCAGTTTTCAGGTAATCTCCTCACTGGGGTGTTGCAGGGTGATCTTTTCAACGTGATGGAAAGATGGTGCTTTAGAGCAGAAGACAATGTCTTACCTGGAGGTGATCAAGGGCAGGATCAGCATCTTCAGCATCCTCATGAGGAGCTCTCCAGGAAAGGAAAAATACTGCTTCTCCTGCATAGAGCAGAGCATGTGTCAGGCAAATGATTTCAGGCTCAAGCTTGATGAATTTGCCTTTTTTTCCCAACCAGACCCAGCTCTGAGCTGGGTTCTGAACTGGCAGCCCCTCCTTGAGGCCATTTCTCTGCTGTCCCTTACTGGGAGCTGGCTCAGGGATGGGCAATATTGGCCACATGGCAAACCTGGCTACAAACAAGGGAGGAGCACGGGGGGGGTTGGTCCCCTCCCAGAACCATTCTTGATTCTGTAGCCTTCTAGGGAATGGTCCACATGCTCCCACCACTGGCTCCTCCCAAAAGTCATTGCTCTCATTACCAGGGAGCAGAGGCTTGGCTGCATCTGATTTGGGGCAAAAGTGCCCCAAAGCTGTTGGCAGCAACAAAAGGTGGGATTTATCTCATGGCTGCAGCTGGAAAAGATAAGTACAGGGAGAGCCCAGGTGTCTGGCCCATCCATGGCACAATTTTGGTGCCATGGCATCTCTCCACCCCCTACACCCCTCACATGGACATGGGGAAGGGCTGCAGAGACATCCCCCAAAGTCTGAATCCCACAGCCATGACCAAGGGGAGAGTGAGGGGTCTGTGGGACCAGCAGCCTGGCCAGCATCCCTCCTTCCCTCTATCCCTATATCTGCCCACCACCCATCCCTCCATCCATGCATTCATCCATCCCCACATTCATCCATCCCCCTATCCATCCATCATCCATCCATCCATCATCCATCCATCCATCCATCCATCCATCCATCCATCCATCATCCATCCATCCATCCATCCATCATCCATCCATCATCCATCCATCCATCCATCCATCCATCCATCATCCATCCATCCATCCATCATCCATCCATCCATCCATCCCCACATCCATCCATCCATCCATCCGTCCATCCATCCATCCATCCATCCCCCCATCCATCCATCCATCCATCCATCCATCCATCATCCATCCATCCATCCATCCATCCATCCATCCATCCATCATCCATCCATCCATCCATCCCCCCATCCATCCATCCATCCATCCATCCATCCATCCATCATCCATCCATCCATCCCCCCATCCATCCATCCATCCATCATCCATCCATCCCTGATCCCCCTATTTTGCTGTGTCACTGTTGAGGTGTCAGGGAGGGATCTGAGATGGCCTCAGGTACTTTTGGTTTCTACAAAGTAGCCACCACCTCAGGCTGAGGCTTTGAGGGGTGCCAAGGCAGCTGCTCAATTGTTCCCCTGTGCTGTCCCTGCACTGTCCCAGTGTGTGACCTGGACGTGGCTGATGTCCCCAGGGAGCTCAGGCAGAGCAGAGCTGCCATGGGCCCAGCTGAGTGTGAGGGGTAGTGCCAGAAATGAACAGGATCTCCTTGCCAGGGGGTCTCTCAGCTTTGTGACACCTTCCCATTGCCGGGAGGAAAGCAGGGACTGGCCACCTCTCCAGCTCTCCTCCAGATTTTGTGACAAAAGTCCTTACTGGGGACAGTCTCTAGAGGCTGCCAGGCCCACAGCAGAGCTGTGGCAACAGGGCAGGATGGGCTGGAGCAGAGGAAGGATAAACTTGATGCATGGCAGGATGAGGGGCTGGAGCCCCAAGACTCTGCCAGCCTCAAGCCCAGCACGGGTGTGTGCACTGGGAAGCAGGGAGATTACACCCAGCTTCAATTAAGTAACGAGATCATCCCTGCTGCGCTGATGCTGAAGGGCCTAATTGAAATGACAAGACTTTGCTAAATCCTAGTGGGCAACACAGGGATGTTCCAGCATCAGCTGAGCTCTCCCGAGCGGCATTCCCCCTCTGGGCTCAGCAGCCTGGCCCAGGACCAGGGCTGAGCCACGGCCCAGCTGCCCCAGGGCAGAGCTCTCAGCTCAGAGCCTTTCACAGTGTGATGCTCCTGGAAGGGGCTGAGCCAATTGTGCCTTTCTCTCTCGTGTGTTTTCTCCAATGCATTTGTCTCCAGGGCTCCTCAAAGGAACGTGACTCCTCAAAGCTCTCCAGGCTCCCCATCAGCCCTCTATTTATTTGCTGGGTCCTCTCCAGAGCATGGAAATGTGCTTTGATTGCACATGGCTGGGGAGAGTAACGGGAGGACTCCATCCCCTGGACCCCATTCCTCAAAACCCATCCCCTGGACCCAATCCCTCAAACCCCATCCCCTGGACCCCATCCCTCAAACCCCATCCCCTGGACCCCATCCCTCAGATGCCAGTGCTGCTGGTGGTGTTGGAGGGAGCCTGTTTACTGAGCATCTAGCCCCTGAGCAAACATTCCCCCCTTTCCCACCCTCATCCCACCTCGAGCTCCTGCAGCCCCATGAGGTCCAGCCCAGAGCTCCCCACTCTCATTGGAGGGAGGCAGGATTTGTCCTATAGCTTGGGCATTTGTTGGCACCTTCTTGGAAAAAAAGGAAAGGAAAAAGAGAAAAAAGCCATGGGGAGAAACCTGCCTCGAGGTGGTTTTCTTGGGAAGGTGCCCTTGCCTTTAGGGCTGTGCCCATCTGGGACCCTCACTGGCACCAGGGTTTGCCCCTGCCCCACTCCATCCCCTCACTCCCATCACCATTCCAGCCAGGCTCACCAGGTCTGTCAGCTCCAGCGCCCGCAGCAGGAACCCCAGGAGGCATCCGGTGACCACCGAGAGCATGGAGAGGGTCAGGAGGCCATTCTTGTACCAGAACGCCCGCAGCCACTTCCAGAGGCGCAGGAGGGCCGTGGCCAGCGAGTGCAGCACGGCTCTCCTGACCCACTCCCACATGGTCCCCTCAGCTGCCCAGGGGCTGCCCCTGGGAGCAGCTCCCAGCCCCGCTCATGGCCACGGCCCCGCAGCGCCAAGGAGCTGCTCTGTGCCCGGAGCCGAGTGTGCTGCTGCGTAATCCCCACAACCAAAAGCTTCAGGGATATTTGGGAGCCTTTCCCATAATGGAAAGTGACGTCTTCAACGGGTTAATCTGGGCTTGGCATCCCGCCCTGAGGTGCTGAACCCTCCCAGTTTAACCCTCCAGCCCCGGGGATGGGGGCCAGTGTGCAGACTGAGAGCAGGGACTCAGCCCCAGAACTTCTCACTGTTCCTGATCCAAAAGGATCCACCAAAAGTGGATCCTGCCACCAGATCTGGGTCCTGCACTAGATTTGTGATCCCCACTGGCTGTGAGTGCACCCCAATCCTGCCCCCATCTGTGAGGGCTTCATGAGGGCAGGGTAAGCAAAGGGAAACTTTCTCAGTGAATGAGGGAACCTCACACGGCATCTGCAGGCACAGCCCAAGGCACCAACAGGTGATGCTGAACATTCCCACACAAATATCTGCCCCAAGGGATCCAACCTCCTGCCAGCCCTCCAGGGCAGCTGCCCCATGGCCATGAGATGCTGCTGGAGCAGCTGGTCCATAATTCATGATATTTTAGAGTATTTCTGTGTCCAGTTTGCCTCTGGTTCAGGCCACGAGTGCCACTGGGGCCAGAGTGTGGTGCAGAATGAAAGGGCAGGTGGGTCCCAGGCTGAAGATGCTCTGGGAATGGGAAAATATTAAAACCTTTATGGGCCTGATTTTACCCCTCTCTCCCCACCTCATCCCCCCCCCCCCCAAAAAAAAAAAGGGCCATAAAACCCTCTTGAACCATGGCTATATTTTACACAGACCAAACAGAGCTACAGTGATGGTGTACAGACTTGAGGATCTGGGGCCCCCTGCCCCATGGGACAGGATCTGTGCAGCCCCAGGGGCTGAGCAGCCATGCTACTGTTCTGTTCTGGCAGGGACACGGTGGTGTTGCAGTCAGTCTCAGAGGAAGCAGAGCTCCTTCCCAAAAGGAGCCTGGTGTCTGGTGCTCTTCGTGTTTCAGCCCTTGGGGTCTCTGTGGTGCTGTCCTGTGCCTCAGGCCTCAGCGTGGTTGGCTCAGCCTGCCAGAATTAGGGAAAGAGTGTTCTTGTGAGCACAGCTGAAATCCAGTTGTCTCTATTCAGCTCCATCTTCAGAGCCAGCTGCCAGCCAGGGATGGAGTTGGCATGTCAGGAGAGAGTAACTGCCCAGGAAAGGGAAGTCTGAGTTCTCTGGGGGATCAGGGACACCTCAAAGGACATTGAAGGGGCCCTGGGGCTGGCAGCAAGTGGAGGGAGCAAGCTGAGAACAGGCTGCAGAGGAGTCCAAATAATTGGGAACAGAGGAACATGCAGACTTTTAGAGAACTGTGAGTAAGTAAAGGATACCTCAGGGAGAGGAAGAGGAATTACACAGAGGGAAGAGAGAGAGGGAAGGCAGCAAAACAGCAAAGGGTCAGGAGGAGGGGAATCCTGGTGCTTGGTGTGGTGGTAACTGTGGCCAGTGAAGGGGTATGGCAGCAGTTCTGTGCACCTACCATAAATCTCAACGTCATCATAGATGTCAGTGTCCCTGCAAGCACAAAGACAGGGTGCTGTGGGCAGTGTGGTGTCCCATGTTCCACCATGTCCCAACCCTGAGGCAAGGGTCAGCTCCTGCTGCCTGGTCTGTCTCAGCTCCTGCTGACCTGTCTGTGGACTCTGGTGTCCCCCTGCAGCCCCGTTTCCCCTCCCAGTGCTGTGCTCTCCCTGCATGGCTGGGACCATCTGGATTGGGGTTGAGGTGGCTCTGGCCCCTCTCAGGATGGTGGCTTCATCCCAGGCTGCCAGGAGCTGCAGACCCAGCCCTGCAGAGGGGCTGCACCCTCATCCTGTCCCAGCAGCAGCTCTGAGCAGTGTCTGGGCAGGTCCCGCACGAGGGGCCACAGCCTGGGGAGTGCTTCCAGTGTCCCAGTGACAGAATGTCTCCTGACACCAGAAATGGCAGATTCCACCCCAGGGGTACCTGCTGGTGTTAGGCTTATGGTCCCAGCCTGAGCTGGGTAGTTTTGAGTTGTCAGCCAGGACTAGTTTGGTGCTGGCCACTCATGGAGCAGCTGTTGTAGCTGATGGAGATAAGGGGCTGGGAAGGGGTACTCACAGAGGCAGCATCACAGCCCGGGGCACGTAGCCATCTGCAACAGAGTGACGAAAAACATGTCAGGTTGTGCTGGGAACCAGGGCATGAGCAGGAATCACCCCAGCACCTGCCCCTGCCCGGGGTTTAGCAACACCTCACATTCCCAGACAGAGCTGGGACAAGAAGGAATCCAGCTCTGGGCAGCCCAGCTGGACCCTCAGCAGGAACCTGCTCTGGGCAGAGTCAGGAAGGAGCTGCCAGGCTGAATGGCAGGGGGCAGGGAAGAGCCTGGACCCTTCCCCTCTGCCTGAGCAATCTCCAGCCCATTCCTGGAGGCTTCGAGGACTGCAAAAGCTTCTAGCAGAGGGAAAGGACAAGCCCAGCTCACAGCAGAAATGCTGCTGCTGAGTGGAAGGAAGAGCAGGATATTTGTGCAGAGAAAAGTGGAAGCCTTCTCAGGATAGCAGGGTACCTGTCAGATCTGTCTAACAGGTGGAGGAGATCTGTCAGCAGGTCTGTCAGGGCATGTTTGCACGAAGAAGCCTCTTCCCAAAACTGTGCTGCGCTCCCTGCTGCGGGCGAGCCCCATCCCCCTGCAGACTTACACCTCCTCTGGCTGTTCCGGCAGAGGATTTGCTCCTGATTTGTGAACTGAATGACATCAAGGATTTCTCCCGGTCTCAGTGGCAGGTTCTTCGCTCCACCCCTCTTCTCTGTCGCTGCAGGGTCGACCATCATCTGAGTCAGGACTTTGATGCTGCCTTCGAACTGGAACACAAACAGCAGTGCCCATGGGGAGCTGAGTCAGGCAGGTCTGACCGCTCTCCCTCCTTGAAAAAGAACAGATTCCTCCTGGCCAAATGGTCTGTGGGACTGCTCTGATCTGGGGGAATGGGGCACGTGTGACCTGGGGGAACAAGGCAGGGTGTGATCTGGGTATCACTGGTCCCTGAGGAGCGCAGCTCCTTTCTGCCATTGCACTGCACCCTTCCCAGAAGGGGAGAAGAAGCTCAAAGGGAAAAGTGATCACTCACTGCTGCTCACCTTGAATTTCTTCTGAAACTCCCTGTCCATCTTCTCTTCCTTCTTGCATGCCTTGAGTGTCATGGTCTTCATCTTCTGGGAGACCTGGGATTCCCTGCAGCCATAGAAAGCCAAGGGAAGGTTCAGATGACCCCAGCCCATGCTCTGCTCCCTCCCATCCCCTTCTCCCTGCTGGCTGCTCCCCATTGCATTTCCCTGCACCAGCCCTGGGGCTGTGGAGGCTCTCAGGCCAAGGTGTGCAGCCTGCAGCTTGTGCTGTTCACCACAGACCTTCCTATTGCAAGCCCAACAGAGAACACTGAAGCAGCAGCTTTGTCAGAGCAGCAAGGAGCCCTGGCCATTTTGGGACCCTTAGAAAGAGTAAAAAAGCTCCTTTACCTCTGTGTAGCTGCCAGCAAGGTAACCCTGTTAGAGGCTCGGCCAGCATTTCCACCTGTAAAACCAAAGCCGGGGAGAGTGCTGCCATGAGGCTGCTGTGAGGTGGAAACACTTGCCAAAGCAGGACACAAAGACAGCAAGAGCTCTCTCCTCCTGGGACCAAATCCTGAGTTTGCCCCCAGGTGTGGGGGGATCAGGGCTTCCTGTGCCCATTTACAAGAGGAACCCACTGCCCTGCTGTGGGGAGCAGCAGGCTCAGCACAGACCCTGCTGCTGCCCATGGCTCGCTGGGGCCTCACAGCTCTTGGAGCTGCAGGTCTCACCCCAAACAGCATCCAGGCTGTACTCACCTCCTCTGGGGCAGGGACACACAGACAGCTGGGACACAGAAGGCAGCAGGAGGCCTGGGCTTCTCCTGGCCAGCTCAACAGACTCAACATCGTCGTATATCTCATCTTCATCCCTGCGGGGAGGCAGAGCGCGGTCGGGAGGTGCTGCTGCAGTGGGGCTGAGGGCAGAATTGGGGCTGCCAGGAGGAGGATGGGCTGGCCATGGACTGGCCCTGGCTCTGGGCCAGAGCAGGACAGCAGCCCCGTGCCCTGTGCCAGCAGCTCCTCACACAGCTGGATGTGGACAGGCAGCAGCTGCAATGGCCACAGTGAGGTAACACAGCCCCAAGGCTTGGCCATACTTCACACCGTGGGAGCTGCTTCCACACCCTGGGCTCCAGCAGCAGGCAGGAAAACCCAAACATCCTCTTGCTGTCACATCTTGTGCCCTTTCCAGGGGCTTGGCACAGCCTGGAGCAGCAGGGCTGCCTCAGTCCTTACCCCGTGGCACTCGGAGCATCCTGCAGCGGGACCCGTGCAGGCACTGGTGCAGCACAGCCTGGTTGCAGGGGACCTGTGACAAACAACAGAGCAGGAGGGAGCAGGGAGGGATTATTTCATATTTTCTCCTCAGCTCTATCAGCCACCCTGAGGTGAGAGCCCCTCTGGGCTGGATTTAGTGCAGGAGGAGGTGGGGAGATAAAACTGACTACACATCTTGATAGAGCAAGGAGTTTTTTACTCCATAGCTCATCCAGGGATTTTCTTCCAGCACAGCAGTGCACAGCTCATCAGGTTCCTCACTGAGGACCCTGAATATGTATTTTCCTGTTTGCATATTTCTAATGTTACTTTTTTCTGGACAAGTGATGGAAGGAGAGGGGAAGAGGCCAAAACAGGTATCATGAATGTGGAAAACCCCTAAATTTCAGATATGTACCAGAGTCAGGGCAAGTCCTGGATATGTCCACATGCTCAGGAGCATCATCAGACAGAAGATACTGCTGCTCCTTTTAGGATTGCCAGCATGACCACACCCCTGCTAACAAGCCCTTATTTGTATCACAAGCCCTGTCTCCAGCCTGGTCAACCAGACCAACGAAAAATGGGCACAAAGTCCTGAGTACAACATCAAATCTCTGCTGCTTTACAGTACCAAATAACACACAATCAAATACTTGGCCCTAAAAATCATAAGAGTGCCCTAAAAATTAACAAAAATGATCAAATCAAGGCAAGGTGTGATTCTAGATGTTGCAGGTTGCCTCAGGACCCATGAGACAAATAAATACCTGTAGCCAGTCATGTGAGAATCTCCCAGCACAACAGCATGGCCAGCCCTGATAACACCTTTGAATTATAACATAGACCAGCTCAGTTTTTCAGTTCTCTTATAGGAAAGGAAGGGAAGTCTACTCTCATGGTTAGAGAAACCGAGCAAGAAATGGCGTTTGAAACAGCTCTCACCACTGTAGTGTGGATTAGCAGAACAGCAGCTGTGAGAAAACACCACAGCAGCCTGGCTCTGACTGGCACCTCCCCTGCTGCTCCTGCCCATCACCCCAGGCCTGCCCGGGCACCTCTGGTAAGAGTCTGGCCCCATTTTCTCCCCGTTAGGGTGCTGTGGGCAGTGACATCTCCCCTTCTTCCCTCTCCTCCCAGCTGAACAAGCCTGGGTCTCAGCCCTTCTTTCTCCATGTGCTCCAGTCTCCAGCCATCTGGGGATTTGGCAATATCTCTTATGTTACATACTCCAACCTTACTTCCTACAAAGATTCCAGAGAGGGAAACTTATGCCCAGCCAGGGACAGGGCACTTTGTTTCTTCACCTGCCCTCCTTCTCTCTCATTCTCATCCTCATGCTATTGCTTATAAAAGCCCCTTTGGTAATACAAGTCCCCACCTCCCCATAAGCCCTCCCAGTGTTTCCATCTCCCAAGAGCTGCAGGCTCTAACTGGGGAGATTTTCCTTCCTGAGTGAGCAGTGCCCTTTCCTGAGGGGCTTTTCTGTGCCTGGCCATACCCAGCTGAGCACTCCTTGGTGGTTCTGTGGCAGGACAGATGGATGTCCCAGGACGTGCAGCTGCTCTGAACTTTGCCAAGTCCACATCAGGAGGGCGCTGGGGCTTGCCTGGCTTCGCTCCCAGTGCCCTGACATGTGGCAGAGGCTTCCTCCTGGGCAGAGCTGGGTGCTCCATCCTCTGGGGGCTGCCCACAGCGAGCAGGGGCGCTGCAGCAGCTGCACCTTTGGCAAGAACCACTGCAGCCCCCTTGTCTTTGGCAGGTGGCCGTGTCTGCTGGGCTGCCTTCCTGTGGGGAGGATCAGAGCTGGCTTCCACCCTCTTGTTCAACACGTCTCCTCCTGGCTTTGCAGGCACTGGGTGGAAGTTGGCACCTGCAGCCGTCCCCTTCTTCCCACACACCGCTGGCGCCGGGGTCTCGCAGGCAGAGTGAGGTGAGTGCTGTCCCAAACTCTGACCTGCGCTGTGAGCTGGAGGGGCCCTGCTGCAGTCCCTCCTGCTCCAGGGGGCCTCCTGAGGAGGATCACCCTTGGAGGCCACGGCAGGGGTCTGTCCTGGCTCTGGTCCATGAGAGGCTGCAGGGTGACCCTCTGGCCAGCCACCCAGTTTGGGAGGTTCTTTCCTGTTCTGTTGGAACTTTGCCCGAAGGTGCCTCACCACGGCATCTCTCCCCTCCAGAGGCATCTGCAACCATTAAGAAAAACAGTTCCAGTTGAAACACCATGGAGGAAAATGAGTCAAAATTCCCCGTGGGGAATGTGGTACTCCTTCAACATGGTCTCACTCTAAGTCTTCTCCAAAACACAAGCTCTTTGCTCAAAAAGGTCCTGAATATATCTGAGTAAACAACATGAGGCCACATCAAACTGGGACCAGGTTACCCCATGAGGGCATCCAGGAGACTTTCATGGAGTCTTTTGGTCTGATCCACCCTCTGTCCACAACCAAGGACCATCAAATCAGAGGGACTGTGTGGCATTCACATTCTCTGAACAGAGAGAGAGAGATCACTCTCTCTCACAGGGTTTTTTCCTGGAGAAGCACAGAGAGAAGAAGAGAAAACAATTCTTATCTCTACTTGCTGCTCCTGTTGTTTTTACACACGTGGAATGTGTTAGGAAGATTGTTTACCTGAAGGGATTTTTCAGTTGATTCTGCTGAGGATTGTTATGTTTCCTTGGCCAATCACTCAAAGCTGTGTCCTGACTGTCTACAGTCAGTCACGGCTTTTTCTTTAGTGTTCTTTATAGTACATTATCTTTATTATAGTATAGTATAATGTAATATAATATAGTTTTAATAAAGCAATTATTCAGCACTCTGAATCACTGGAGTCAGGTGCCAATCATTCCTCACCACAGGGGCACCCTACATTACTACACGTGGTGACCTCCGATGTTGGCTGAAGAGCCAGGGCCTGGATGGATCCCCTGGATTCGCAGCCGGGGCTGAACACAAAAGATTTGCTGCACACCCAAGGGAGTGTGTCTGGTGGTCCTCTGGTGAGTCACAGATGGGAGACACCCTTCAAACCTTGGCTGAGACCCCGGGGACCCTGCACAACCCGCCTGCAATCGGACACTGGCTCCACTGAGAAGGGACTGTTAACCCTTCCCCTCCTGATGATAACAATTCCACAGGACTGGGTGGCAGTAGCAAAGCTCCTGAGGGCAGTAGCAAAGCTCCTGAGGGCAGAATCTGAGATCCAGAGATTCCCAGGGATCAGATGGGAGCAACCTGCCTTGCCCTGGTCCTGTTTTCCGGGATGAAGGGTGGGGGAGGCTGCACAGGGCCATTGGATCCCTCCTGGAGGAAAAGCGGGGACGGCACTGCCGGGACTCGCCCAGCACAGGCTGCGGGCAGACACAGCAAGGCCGAGGGGCGGCAGACTGCCCTACTTTCCTGACATGTGTCTTTCCTGTGCGGTTCACACTGTGCACACACAGCCAGGACACAGCTGCTCCAGCACAGAGCTGCCTTTAGCTTTGCTTCCTCAGTGACCAAACTCACCCTTCTCCAGAGCCTCCAGAGAAACGCTGCCAGGAGGAGGCTGAGAACGGCTCCTGCAAAAAGGCTGCCAGGTTGGAGGGGTGGCACAAAGCTACAGGATGGGGCCACATCTTTGCTAATCTCAGATGGACCTTGTGAGAGGGGAGGGATCACCTCACCCTCCCCATCTTTCTCCCATGCCCCTGTCCCCAGACCACAGTGTCCCTCTGCACCGGGGCTGGCTGCCTTGCTGGAGCTGTATGCTTTGGTTTTGGAGTTCTTATCCTTCTGGGATTTCAGTTTGGGTTTGTGATTGCATAATTTTTTTTTTCAGAGAAAAAATAAAAAAAAAGGGAAAGGCTGATATGGAGAGAAGCTGATGCAATATTTTTAGGCATAATAAATCAAATGTATATATACAGACCTACAAAAGTGCAAGTTCCCCAGGAAAACACCCCAGTTTTCCTGGTAAACCCTCAAATGCAGCACTTGGTATAGCAGTGCTGAAGCAGCATGAATTTGTCATTTCCTGTATATCAGCACTGGGGCTTTCACTCAAATTAGTGAAAAATCAATGTTTTCCAGATTCCCAAACGTGCTGTTGGGATTTTTGACACCTGAATGATTTGGTGGTTTGTAATGATCATTTTTGGGCCTGTTCCATGAGCTGGGACTTGCTCAGAGCCCTTGGATGTACAGCACTGCCATCACTGTGATCAGTTCCAGGTTTTCCAATCCATTTTGTGCTGGTGGGGGCTCTCCTGGACTTGGTGGGAGTGTGGCCTTCTCCTTTCACAGATGTTTATATTCAACCTAAGTTCACCCAGCAAAACTTCCTCCAAGCCCAGAAACTGATCAGATACCTTTGAAGCTCCATCCAGCTCAGATGTACAGAAGGACTTTGCCTTTCAGGAGGGGTGAGGTTGTTGGCCAGATCCAGCCCCTCACAAGGACATCCCCAAAACCATTCCAACCAGGCCCAGTGTCCCATCCCCATGTCCACTATAGCCCAGGTCTGGTTGTCACTCACCATCTTCCATCAGTGGATGCTTTCCTGTGTGCTCACCTCCTTGCTGAAGACCACCTGAAGCATTCTGGACAAGACTCTCTGAGGCGCCCTCCCTTGAAACCAGCAGCTCTTTCCTAACAGCTGGTGAGGAGCTGGTGTGCAATGCCAGGAAGTTGCTTTTGCCTGATGAGACCTGGTGAGACCGCACAAGTAGGAGGAGAAAGAGGAGGAGGAGCAGCTCTTGGTACACTGCTGGTTTGGCTCTGCTGCTGTTTGACACGTGCAGCCCACCAAGTCCTGCTGGCCATAAGAGGAGAGCCCCAGTTTTGGGAACTGCAGGATGCGAGGGGATGGGAGCAGGAGGGTGGGAAATGTCCTTGTCCATGGTGGGCCAGGATTCCTCTGCAGGTCAGGTCTCAAAGCTGCACAGGACTTGCGGGGTGGGGAGGTGCAGAGGGTGCACAGCTGAGCTCTGTGCGAGCACAGAAAAGCTGCGTGAGGGCCTGTGGCTCCCTGGAATCAGGCTCTTCAGGGGGACATGAGCTCGGCTAGAAAGCCTAATTCCTCTGGGAAGCAAGGGAAAGCTGTGCACGCAGGGTGCTGTGTCGGGCCAGCACAGTGTCCAACTGTCCTGGTGTCACCGTTTACTGCCTCTGAGGCAGGGCCGGTGTGACACCCTGGCAGGGGTGCTCTGGCTCAGGTTGGTGCTGGTGTCCCTGCTCCAGGATCTGTGCGTCCCTGCAGCCCTTTGGGACAGTGCCCCACCAGCAGTGCCCGAGGCGGCTCCTGCCTGCAGATGGTTTAAGAATAAGATACAGTTTGAGGACTTGGGGAAGGCTGTGGCGGGCAGCCAAGGGAGGTGGTCCTGGGGGTCCTGTGGAGGGTGGTGGGTGCCCTGGGAAGCATTGGAGGGCTTGATCCCACCAGCTGAAGATGGATGGATACGGGGTGCTGGGAGGTCCCACAGGGGACCCACGGGGAGCTGACTCTGGGGCACAGCACGGACAGACAGCAGCGAGGGCCACCCCCAGCTGCCCCACTGCTCCTGCCGCTGCAACGGGGCTGGCACAGTGTCCCTGTCTGTGCTGGGGCACGGGGGTGGCAGGGAGGCACCGAGGGCCGGGATGGGGAACACCGGGATGGGGCTGTGCGGGCTGTGTTAGGAGACACGGTGAAGGGGAGGATGAGGGGCCGTTTGGGGATGGGATGAAGGGGAAGAGGACCCGCTGTTTGGCGCCGGCCCGAAGCGGAGGAGGAGGGGCCGTGCTCGGGGCCGGCAGAGCCGCGGGGCCCGGCCGAGGATGCAGCGGGGCCCCGCCGAGCGCGGCCCGGCCCCGCGCAGGCGCAGCGCTCGGGCGGGATGGCAGCGGCGGCGGCCGTGCCGGGGCCGGGCCCGGGGCCCGCGGAGGCGGCGGTGCCCGGGGAGGAGGCGGCGGCCGCGGGGCAGCAGGGCCCGGGTCCGGCCCGCCTGGCCCGGCTGCCGCTGGCGCGGGTGAAGGCGCTGGTGAAGGCGGACCCGGACGTGACCCTGGCCAGCCAGGAGGCCGTGTTCGTGCTGGCGCGGGCCACGGTGAGGGGCGGCCCCGCGGCTCCTGGGCCCGGGTCGCTGCGGGGATGCTGCTCCGTCTTGCCCAGGAGGATTTTCCTTCTCTCAGGGACCCGCGGGGCGGCTGCGGCCGGCCCGAGCTGGGGAAGGGGCTGGAGCTCCGGGAGCAGCTGAGGGGGTGGGAAGGGGCTCAGCCTGGAGCAAAGGAGGCTCGGGGGGCCCTTGTGGCTCTGCAGAGCCCCTGCCAGGAGGGCACAGCCGGGGGGCGTCGGTCGCTTCCCCCACGGAGGAAGGCACAGGACAAGAGGAAATGGCCTCAGGCTGCGCCAGGGGAGGTTTAAGATATTGGGAAAATTCCTTCATGGACAGAGTTGTCAGGCTCTGGCACAGGCTCCCCGGGGCAGCCACCGTCCCTAGAGCTGTTCAAACAATGTGGCACTTGGGGACAGGGGATGGGGGTGAACGTGGAGGTGGTGCTGGGCCGATGGTTGGACACAATGATCTTAGAGGTATTTCTCCTCCTGAAGGATTCCATGATTCATCTGCTGAGCACAGGACACCTTTCCCCCTTCAGAAGGTGCCCTGGGAGCCCCGGTGTGCAGTGGGTCTCCCAGAGACTGTGGGAGCTTCCCAGCTCTCTCCCTCACTGCTTGTCCTGGGCATCACTGCCCAGCCATTTCCTTTGATATTTTCAGACCTGCTTACAAGGAATGGGTAATGTTAGGATGAAGATTCTGATCTAATCCTGAAGCCTTGTAGGACCTCTCTTTTTCCTCAGGATATTCTCTGTCCTCTCCTGTGTGAACCTGTCCCGTTTTGCCTTGCAGGAGCTGTTTGTTGAAACCATAGCCAAAGATGCTTACATGTATGCCCAGCAAGGAAAAAGGAAAACCCTGCAAAGAAAAGACCTGGGTATGGGAGCATGTTCTGTGCTGTTCTTAGCAAAGAGTTGCTCCAATGGGGGATTTGCCCACCTGTCTGGAGGTGCTGAAGTAATTATGGATTTATTCTTTCTTTCCCTGAAGAGGGGAGAGAAAAACTTCTACCAAAGACTACACTAATAATTTCACACACCATCTCCAGAATAAATATCTTTGACATTGGTAACTGTGTTATGATGTAATTTCAAATGCTGCAGTTTGAAACATATGCAAATATGGAGTTAGTTTATCTATTTTAATTGTTCTCAATTTGCTTTTCAGATAATGCCATTGAAGCTATTGATGAATTTGCTTTTTTGGAAGGTGAGTTTCTACTTGATTTCAGTATTTTATGTAGTAACCTACTTAGGAGAGAAAGAGCTGAATCATTTGCAAAGCTCTCTGTTTCCACATCCTCAGTAATTCCTGGTGTGGCTTGGAATGGCTCAGCTGGACCCTGAGGCACGTGCAGTAGTTGGGGTTTTTTTGCTAGATTTGGTTTTACTCATGTGTGATTTGCTTAAACTTTAAAGTTTTCTTTTGCCAGTTTGTAAACAAGGTTTATTTGTTCACAGAATTGCACTTCTAATTCTTGAGACTATAATGTGTTTTTCCATTTTCAGGTACTTTGGACTGAGCAGGACAGGAACAGAGCTCTCTGGAGAGATTGCAGAGGTGGTGTGAGATGGAAAACTGGATGCTGAGAGTTCAAAAATAATTCCTAGAATTGAGACATGACAACCATGATATTTTTTATAAAGTTGTTGTAAGTTCTTTATTTAAAATGGATATTTTTTCATAACTATTTTGTATGTCCCTTCCCATGTGGCTGCCGTGCAGCTCTCTGCTCTGGCCAGGTTACACAGCAGTTACTCCCAGTAGCAGTCCCAGCCTCTCTGGATACTCTGCAGCACCACAGAGCTGTGAACAGAGAGTGGCTTGGCTCAGGTGCCCAGGCACAAGGAATTTTTTTTAATTTAAATGTGGATTTTGTTAATATGTTTGTCTCTTAACGCAATTAAATTGTTGATGTTGTTGCTGTTGAGCAGCTGTGCTGATTCCTGCTCTGGGCTGGGGTTCCTGTAGCCTGGTGGGAAGTGGTTTAGTTCTGACAGGATGCCTTCTCTAGCATTTTGGTTTTGCTAACTGTTTTCTCAAGGCATCCATTCCAGAGAAACCCAGCTGTCCTCCAGGAGCTGGGGATGAGCAGGGGAGCTTGGCTTGGCCCAAGGGCTGTGCAGCTTCTCTAAGTGTCTGTGGCTGTTGCACTTGTAGGAAAAAACCCAACCCAACCCCCCAAACCTCATTTTGAATGCCAGGGGAGTGTCCGTGCTGCCATCACTGTTCTCTTGTGTGCTCCCACTCCCGAACCTGGCAAAACATTTTCACTGGGACCTGGATCTGTTCCCTGCCCTGTGCCTGGAGGAGTTGGTGCAGAGACCCTGAGTTCTTGATGAGGAGCTGAGTCCATCCTTGTTCAGGGGCACTGCTGCCCAGCCCTGCCATGGGCACCAGCACTGCCAGCACTCTGCTCACTGGAGCTTTTCCACTTTAGCCAGAGCTTTCCTCCCTGGAGGTAACAGCACAACTGTGTGGCTGTGGGGGACGTGCTGCCATCCCTGCTGGGACATGTGCTGCTGTGTTCCCAGCTCTGACTCCACTTGGTGTGGGTTGTCCCCAGATAAAACCATTGCATGGGATGAAGGAGGATGAAGGATGCATGCTCTTTCAAATGAGGGTATTTGAGAGTGGCTCCCAGTCACCACAAACTTAAATTAGTTTGGAAGTGGTGATAAGAACAAGGACCCCTCAGGGGAGCTTCCCCTGGCTGTCAGCAAATCAAGAAACACTTGGAAGTTTGCTGAGAGCCTGATCCAAGCCGGGAGCACAATCCTGATCATGCTCATTTCCCAGGGCCAAGGTGTTTGTTCAGATCAGTCAGGACATTTGCCAGGATGTGTGAGCCTGTGTGGCTCGGAGCTGTTCCCTTGTCACCTGCCAGGGAGGGCAGGGATGAGTGTCAGAGGTACTGGAGACTTCCCTGTGCTTCCCAGGCTGCAGCATTGCAGCACCCACGAGCTGTGGTCTTCCTCACAGGGCTCTTGCAGGCTCCCAGCTTTGCCTGTGAGTTCCTCTTCCCTTCTTGGCCTCTGGCAGGGAGGGCAGGGCTGTGCCGTGGGGCTGTGGGGGCTCTGCTCACACACATGCTGCTGTGGTTGGTGTGAGCTTCCCACAGGGAGCAGCAGGCAGGGGTGGCTGCCCTTGGCAGGCAGTGTGGGGTTGTGTCAGGAGAAGCTGTGCAGAACTCTGGGGGTTTAGTGCCCATGAGCTCCTTTGTGCTGTGGGAGGGGGCTCCTTTCACCCAGGTCTGCAGAAAGGTAGAAATAAAGAGAGCAGATGAACAGTGAGAGAAACAGGGCCAGTGTGTTCCTGGAGTAACTAAACAGGGTGTTCAGCCCACCCAGCCAGGGTCAGATGTGTCCTGTCCATCTGTAACAAAATTTCTTCTTTGTGCTGGAGCCATTTTGTTCAGGATAGGGAGCAGCTGGACCTGTGCCTCATCCCAGCTCAGGCAGAAATGGGGGGAATTGTACCTGGGGTAATGCTGGGCTCAGTGGTTTGTGGGTGCAGGTGCAGGAGCTGTCAGCAGAATGCAGGAGCATGGGATCTGTTTGCAGAGAGGGGCTGCTGCAGGAGGCAGAGCCATTTTCTCCGTGTTGGGCACGGTGAGTTCACAGAACCATGGAGTTGTTTGGATTGGAAGGGACCTTAAAGCTCCTCTTGTTCACCCCTGTCACAGGCAGGGACACCTTCCACTGTCCCAGGTTGCTCCAAGCCCTGTCCAGCCTGGCCTTAAACACTGCCAGGGATGGGACAGCCACAGCTCCTCTGAGTTCCCCTTCACCCTCCAGAAACCAAGATTCTTGATGCTTCCACACTCACATCCTGCCCATCCCTTGGTGCTTTTTTTATGTTGAAGTTTTCCAAGTGGCTTTTCCCTTGGGGAATTAAGGACAGAAATGTGCTGGGGACCTGCTGTCCAGATAATCCAACACCTAAACATCTTTTGTAGCACAGGAATTGATGAGTAGCCTGATCCCTGGCTGTTCTTTGCACAAAGGAACTCAGTTCCCTGGACCTGAGCTGCACCATGGTTGATCCTGTGTTTGAATTCCCTGTTTATTGCTGCATAAATTCAGGGCAACTGCAGGCTTTTGCTTCCCAGGACTGATGCTGTAAGTGCTATCAGCAGGTAAACAACAAGCTGCCCTGTAAAAGTAGAGAAAGCAGATGAGGTAGAAAGGGGCTCCATGTGTTCATCAGAAAAAAGTCTGTGGCCTTCAGCAGCAGTCTGTGGGCCCTGTTCCCCTTTGCAGTGGCTGTAAGGACACAGCAGCTTTACTCTCTGAGGTTTCTTAGGATTTTCCAGTGCACGAGAGCAGCATTGTACAAATTTAACCTTTAGTGTTTGCCAAATACCAGCTTCTTGTGTACAATAGGAATGATAAAATTATCCCAATTAAGAACTGTTACAAGCAGTGACAGTTTGTCAGCTCCAGAGACACCAACTTTAGAAGAATAAATAATGATGAAAATGTAATCATAGTCACAGAATATGCTGAGTTGGAAGGGACCTGCAAAGATCATCAAGTGCAACTCCCTGCCCAGCACAGAGCCATCCCCAAGAGTCACCTCATGTGCCCCAGAGCACTGTCCAAGTGCTCCTGGAGCTCTGTCAGGTTTGGTGCTGTGACCATTCCCTGTTGCAGTGCCTGACCACTGTCAGGAGGAAGAGCCTTTTTCTAGCACCCAGCCCCAACCTCCCCAGCATGACTTCAGCCCATTCCCTCGGGGCTGTCACTGTCACCAGAGGAGAGATCAGTGTCTGCCCCTCCTGTTCCCCTCACAGGGAGGGTGTAACTGCCATGAGTTCTCTCTTCAGTCTCCTGCAGGCTGAACAGACCAAGTGCCCTCAGCTGCTCCTCAAATGGCTCCTCCCCAGCCCTTCCCCAGCTCCGTGTCCCTCCTCTGGGCACTCTCCAACACCTTTGGGTCCTTCTGATCTCGTGGTGCCCAAAGTGCCCCCAGCACTGGAGCTGAGGCTGCCCCAGGGCAGAGCAGAGTGGGACAATCCCTCCCTGGGCCTGGTGCCCCCAGCACAGGGTGGCCCTTGGGGCTGCCAGGACCCAGCAGTGACTCAGATCCAACTTGCACTGACCAGGACCCCCAGGGCCCTTCCCAGGGCGCTGCTCTCCAGCCTCTCATCCCCAGCCTGGCCCTGCACCCAGGGCTGCTCCATCCCCCTTGCAGGGTCTGGCACTTTCCCTTGTTGAGCTGCATATGGTTGGTGATGATCCAGCCCTCTGATTTCCTGAGGTCTGTCTGTGGTTGAGGGAGTCAGCAGCTCCTCTCAGTTTTGCATCGTCTGTGAAAGTACTCAGTGTCCCTTCCAGTCCTGCATCCAAGACATTTATGAAGCTGTTGAAGAGCACAGGACCAAGGATGGAGCCCTGCAGAACCTCACTGGTGACTTGTGCCAGCCTGATGTCACCCCAGTCACTGTCACCCTCTGTGCCTGACCCATGAGCCCATTGCTCACCCATCCCATGATGTGTTTATCCAGCTCTGGGATGGACAGTTGTCACAGACATCTTTTCATTAAAATCCTTTCATTAGGATTTTTCCTGCTGAAGCTGAGAAGTTTCAGCAACAAATGTAAACAATGGTTATCTGCTGCTGTGGGATGCAACAGGTGGATCCGTGATTGGTCTCCTGTGAATGTTTGGATTTACTGACCACTCACGGCAGAGCTGGGTCTCACTCTCTGCTGAGACACAGAACTTTGTTATTCATTCTTTTCTATTCTTAGCTTAGCTAGCTTCTGAGAACCTTTCCTTCTATTCTTTTTAGTGTAGTTATAATGTAGTATATATATCATAAAATAATAAAATCAAGCCTTCTGAGCATGAGGTCAACGTTCCTGCCTCTCTCTCACCCTGAAGACCCTTGTGACCACTGTCACAGTTTGTCCAGAAGGATCCTGGGAGAGACAGTATCAAAAACTTTACTGAAATTCGAAAAGATTACATCAACCGGCTTTTCTGGGTCAACCATGTGGGTCATTAAAGGTATGCAGGCAGTGATTTGATGTGGGTGTGTCCCCTGGCCGTGTCCTGTGCTGCAGGTGAGAGGAGAGCCCTGTGTTCCTGCCCCAGGGTGCTGAGAGCTGCACCTGGGCTGGCTCCTGCTCCTCCAGGCCTGAGGGAGCTGGGGGTTGCAGCGAGGTGTAGCTGGGCTTCTAGGTCAGAATCCGGCTAGCTGAGGTGAAGGCCGACACCCAGCTGCAATCCTGCCAGCACCCCTTGTTGAAAGCGAAGGGAGACAACCCATCTTTGTTGATCAGCATCGAACTCCGATTTATTGATTCAATCAGTCACTTTTTATAACCGTGTTAATTAAGTTCATGCATATTGCAAAATCCGAGCTCCTCGTAGGCTACAGCTAAAACATTAATCCCTCCTTTTGTTTTCAATACCTGTGGTTTGTTATTGAATCCAAGATTTATTTTCTCACCCTGTTATGAAAGTTCTCAAGGCCTCCATGTTATTGAAGACAAGCTTGAGAACTTAGCTGTTTACAGAAACAGGCTGTGAGAATTTGCTCCTCACAGCTGCCTTTTAAGCCATTTCTGAGCAAAATTCTCCAACAACCCCTCGGCGTCGTAAGGCCTCGGGCTGTGCTGGTTGTGGACTGGATCGCTGCTAAACGACGAGAAGGAAGGAGCTGGACACTCGCTGGGGGCGAAACAGATTTACTGGAAAACCCACGAGGCCAGCGAGGGACAGACCCCCTGATGTAGCAGCAAATGACCCAGAACAAAGGGTGCATCAGGGTTATAAAGGGAAAGGGTGGATAAGGGAGGGGTTTACAAAAGACCAATAGGGGGAGAAGAGGGGATGAGCTTAACACAAATGACATCGTGGAGAGCCCAATAGGTACCAGGTATGGGAGGGGCCCCGGGACCACAGCCAACCACAACCCCCA